ATTCAGCTTCGTCTTACCTGTTACATAGAGCGATCTCCGCACAGTTATAGGTACCTATATAGTTCAATATCCAACTAGATTCGACTGGAGGATATAGAAGACGACTCAGCTTTGGACATCTGTTCGCCTCTGATATCTTTGAATATCTGTTTGATAGGAGATATGTACGTCACCTACCTAATATTCCATAAAATTAAAAACAAAATGTAAGAAAAATGTTTTCAAATTTACATTAGTCGTAGTGACGAGGCCGTCAAAATATTAGCCATTTTAATAATTTGGAGTCGTTCAAAAATTATGTAAAATGTTTTGATCTGTCTATTATATAATTTATTTGTTAACTTTAAAAATAGTATTAAATACTATGTTTTTAAATATAATATATTTTTGTTCTTCTTAATTTTATCTTTTACTCTATTTATAATATTGCATAACTATACTTTGCTACTTCTTATTATCGACAATTACTAATTTATTATTTTATCTATTAATTTTAAGTTAATATAATATAAGAACCGCTCCCCCAGGCCCCAGCACAAGCTATGCTTTTTAGGGGGTGCTGCAACTAATTAATTTACGTATTTATATAATGTGTCTCATGTTGTTTTGCAAAATAAAGTATTATTATATTATTATAATATAACTATAAGTAATTTATTGCCTTTTTGGCTTTGGATAAATTTTAGCATTATTTTATTTTTAAACTATAAAACAGTTAATTAAATAATATAATTTAAGACTATTAGCTAATAGTTCACGACACGAATTGTAGTTAATGATATAAAACATCAACGACACACTATACGCTATTAACAAAATAACGAATAACAGACACTGAATTTAGATAGGTAATTGTAGTGCGATTATTAGGTACTAATCTAATCTTAATCGCAACTTTTATAATGAAGTTTAAATTTTGAATTAATTATTACTCGAGATATTTTGTCATGGAATATTTGTGTCTTGTGATATTTTGTCGTGGAACCAAAAATACATACCTGAGCTATATTTTTTTATTCCCCTTGAGATTCTATATATCGAAACTCGATAGAATTATATTTTTTTTTCTATTGTTCTGTATTTTTAATGAATCTAAAACACGAATATTAGTGCGAATAGTAAAATAAATGTATCAAATAGTACAGTGCGTATTCAATAATATAGGTACTCAAGTCGAAACATATCTCTTCGCATCATGACCTGCTATAGGAAACTAGTGTATTATATTTTTAAAATTATTATTAAACATCAATTCAGTGGGTACCTAGGTAGGTATGAGTAGAATTAATGTAATTCCCAGTGTTTATAATTCAGAATTTTGTCTTATAAAAGTGAATATGAGTAAATAGGACGACTTATTATTATGAGTTGCGAAAATCGTGATGAGAATAATATTAGGAATTAGTGTGAGAATAAATACCTATACTCGTTATATTAAATGGTATCATAATAATATGTTATTATTATTTCACTATATAATTTATTTCATTATTGTGTTTGACCGAGAACAGAACGGATTTGGTCACGAGTAAAAGTCGGTACCTATCATAATATCTGTTAAACCAATTTAAATGTGCTTAATGTATTAATATATAGTTTATCCGTTATTTGTAGAGATAATATTTAACATAAAACAATAACGATATAGGTACATAATAAATCATATTTAATTAATATTTATAGTGTACCCACTCTGTATGCATAGGTACTTGAGTAGTATTCGATTTTATTTGTTACACTTGTATATGTAAAATATTGTAATATTATCTATATCGTGTCGACTGTCGGCTATGCAGGAGTTAAGAAGAGTCAACTGTGTAATTGTGTGGTATGAAAAAATATTATGCACTTTTGTTTTTAATTTGATTATGTTTCTAGTTTTGAACAAAATAAAAAATGTCTAGTAACTATGTATAAATTGTATAATACACTTTGTTTTTTAGACGGTATTATTTATGTACTATGCATGTCTATATTGTGTATTTATTTATTTATTTAGGCGTACATTTGTATTTTGTAAAATTATATTTTCTATTGTTATAATTCTATCTGAAAAGTATTTAAAATATTTTTTCTACTAATTATTATTTAGTCATCTCACAGTTTTAAACTACATATACCATACCACTTGCACTAAGGCACTAACAAATTTTGTTTAACGACAATACTAAAAAAAAAATAATAATCTTTTATAGGTACGAATAATTGGGTTACATACATAAGACGACAACATTGGAATATTTGATTCCATTTAAAATCATAAGGAATACACATGGCAAGTTTTTTGAAACTGTCGCACTGGTCAATTTTTGTTTAAAACAATTTATTTTAAGATAATTTTTGCTACCAACGGTCATCATTTTTTAAATGGAGTTTCTTTTCTTCGTGAATTAATAAGTTACAACTTCAGCTTTTTTTAATTTTCTATATAAATATGGGTTTCATAGTACTAACAAAATTTAACAGTATAATAATAAACCGTCTAAAGAACAGCTTCAATACATAATATAAAGAAACCTATTTAGTAAGTAACCCTTACGACAAATTATGACTAATTAAATATTGATACTTTATATTTTGCACTTCAATTTTTATAGGTGTTACTATACGGGTTGCATCGGATATTTTAAATGCTGCCTACGGTTCTCCAAAATTACGTGCCATTTTTATTTTTGCTAAAATGAGCTGTCAAATTAACCATGAAAAAATGTAATAATAATATTAATTATTATTATTTAACTATTGAGTATTTAAAAACTAAACTCTTGTGATTTAACCTGGGGTTAAAGTGGGGGGCAGTCCCTCTACCTCTGACGATGGTTAAAAAGCGTCCCATTTAACAAATTGTATAAACATAAAATTTTATATGGAACGAACGCTTAAAACTATATGGAGACATTAGTCCCCTCTGGAATTTTTTCCACTTTAACCCCTGGATATAACTGTCGTAGAGCGGTAGATTGTAATACTAAACATATTATAAAATATTTAATATATACACAGAATGAATATCATATCTATAAAAAATCATTAAATTGTTGATACATTTAATAAACTAATAAAAAAAGTACATAATAATTGTAATATTATAAAAACTATTGTTACATGAACAAACTATTTTTCATCTATTTATTATCTTTTTGAACAAAACTGTGCCTAATCATTTAATACAGGTAATCATTACAACGAAATAGATAGAAAGAAAAAAAGTTAAATTTAACACCTACTCAAATTATTGTATATGAATTATGAATTACAATTAAAAGATTAAAAAAATTTAAAAATAATTTGTCTGATTGATGAATTTGTATGACATAAATTTTGACTGTAAATATATTATTTTGAGTAGAACATAGGTAAGTACCTAATAACTAGCGATACCTACTAAACGATAGAGTGATTATAGAAAATCACAACATAAAAATCAAAAATATAAACCTGGGACGTTACCTTAAAACAAGTAGGTACCTATGTAATTTTTATTAGATTTACTGAATTCGTTACCTAATTATTCATTTCTTTTTTACATTATTATGTTGTGTTTAGTATGTACATTATGTATATTTTTATTATATTTGTGTTTTTATATAATATTATGTATTATCACTTGTTATGAAAGCATTAGCTATATTATAATATTGAATCTGTATTTTTTTTTTATTTATTTAAATCTTAATTAATTATACCTAGTAGATGTCTCATCCATTTGGAACGTACAGCAATTTTATTTGTATTTTTGTTTACTATAATTTTATAATTTTTAACAATCCTATGTATTTCAATATTGAACTTTGTATACCTACTGTGTCTTTTGGCAACCTGCATGGTCGGCAGTCCGCTTAATAAAGTTGTTATATATATATTATTAGCCTGTTGTATTAGAATATAAGAGTACGTCCTACTACCTATATTATATTGTAGTCTGCGGGTAACGCCTAATGTGTGGGCGACTCCCAGAATATTGTAGCTACACGGCAGCCGCTAGGGAAGTCGTCTTAGCTCTTTTAAACCTGTACGTCGTTCTGACAGTCAATAATAAATATTACAGTGAATTATATATTTCGACTCACAATACAATTATATTAGTATATAAATCTTTAAAACTGTTTTGTTGTACAGTCTCCAAAAATTGAACCCTCACACTACCAAAAAAGCAACGTTCAGACGGAACAACCCGTACGAGCCAACACACTAGAAATTATTGTTTTCATTTAAAAACCGAATTCCACAAGAAAAAAATAGCAAAATACACTGTTTCTCGAATATAAGTAACGCCTGTGAGTCAAACAATTTAATGCGATAAAAATAGGCGGTCTTAGCATTTTAATTTTGAAAGAAATTTAATCTCGTACACATTTTAAACATATTATTATAACGATGAGTCCGTGGCCCGTGGGCCTTCCACCTGTAAATTATTTCACTAAAATCCGGTTTTTAATAAATCTGGATTATCGAATCAATCCTAAGTGCACCTACCTTTCTATAACTAATTTTAACTACGTTAAGTATTATTAATACTCAAGGAAAATGGAATTTAACTAAAACCATACCTTTAGCATAACTTCGACCAGCTGCAGCCACATCTTAATAATATTGGTTGACTTCACGGTTGAAACTTAGGGTGCTAGTTTCTGTGTCGGCAGCTATTTTAAGTCGTGGACAAAAATCAAATTGAAAACATTCCTTTCATTTAATAACATTATAGTAAAAAAAAACAAAGTTAAAATAGTTAAAAACTTATTCGATACAATTATTAAAAAAAACACTGTCGAAATTTATTACAATATAAATAAAATAATTTTATTCGATTAAACATTTACCAAGTGTTTATCGTCGTCCAAAAATAAACAATATATTCACCAGCTTCCTACTACAATAATAATAATAATAATAATATTATAGCCCGCACAGTAATACACAATCTAATATAATATGTTTATTTAGATAATAGCCATTTCACTCAACTTTTCTAAATAAAAGGCCCCCAGTGAAAAACATTATCAAATACCCCATGATATGGAGCTATACGGGTGCCAATAAATTATTTGCATATGATATGATAACTGACGCACCCAGACCAAACTCAGTATTTTGAAGATCACCGCTTTTCCTGATATGGAGATATCCAGACTACATAGCCTATCATCAGTGTCCAACCCACATTTGAAACCAAATCGAATAGGCTTGCCCCTTATAAACTGTTTGCAGCCATGTCTGCCGAAGTATGGAACCATTGATTCATCTATACTATGAAATTGTTGATGTGGTGTGTGTTCAAAACCTTGAATTAGCATGGAAAGTAATGGTCTTATTTTGGAAAATTTGTCATGCTCGTCAAGCTTGCTATATCACCGAATGAATATATGAAAAAATTTGCTCAAAACGATTTCGTCGCATAGCACCTGACACCAAGTCGTTATGGGTATCTGGTGATTTTTCCCAGTACATACGTCTTCGTGATAATTCATTATAACCCGATAATAACAAGATACCTAAAAAACACTTTAGTTCGTTTACATCAATTTGAAGTGATTGGTTTTTATTAGATGCATAATTATTTGAATAATCAACAATCATTTCCAACACTTGTTGGTCGAAAAATAGCTCAAACAGTTCATAGGGTTGTAATGTATTATAAACAAATTGGGTTTTTGATCATCAACAAAAATATTAGGAGTTTCGAGATCTCCCTGACGCCATAATACAGTTTGTTGAGCATCTTGATTTTGTTTTGTTATTTTATTTTTTGGCCTTGATGAA